TGGTGTGCTTATAGGCCATATAGATCTTGAGTATGGTGTAGATTGGGTTAGCTGGCATATTGTAATTCCAGCCCACACTTGACTTTACAACTTCCACTAGCATGCGTATTCGATGTAGTTGGCATAACTTTATCTGTTGCACTTTCATTTAAAAGGCTGAAGTTCTAAGTAAATACTAAATAATCGAAACGGAATCCAACCTTGTTTATTGCACAACCCATGTGAACTCTGTTACTAATCCACTGTGAAGTTTCAAAGCTTCGTTATGTCCTTTGGGAGAGAGGTGTTAAAATCTACTGGAAACTGGGATGATGAAAAGAGAAGAGGGAAACCTTACAAAGAGGGGGGTGCGGGGGGGAGGGATTAGCAATTTAGCACAGCTGCTGCAAAAGAAGGGGATGCACAACCTCAAGAATAAATCCGAAGAAATTTGAATAATTGAAGTTCAATTTTCGATTTCAAAGGAAGAGTGGGGGGGGAAGGATTAGAACAGCTGTTGCAAAAAAAAAAGGAATGCACAACTCGAGAATGAATCGGAAGAAATCTGAATTATTGAAGTTCAATTTTCAATTTTAAAGTTGAAAAGAAGGATGTGGACCATGTGGTACGTGTTTTTCTTTTGTCTCTTTGAAATTCTTTCTCAATTTGTACGATTTTGTGATGTATGTGTGTCATCCTCGCGCAGGGGCCATGCTAATCTTCTTCTCTGTATTGTTGCAATTTCCATGGATGTCACAAAGGACAAAATGTAGTATGTTCGAATTTGGGAATCCACACAGATTCCACAGCCCATGTGGCTGAACGGTGTGCCAATGAATTGTTGGATTTAAGTTAGTAAAACAAATCGAAGTTCGAATCCAGATGGAATCAGATGAGTAAATAACCCTGAATTTACGTGGTGCTTGTCATCTCGATGATGCTATCACGGCATTATCACCCTTTAAAAAAAAATAAAAAAAATAGGGTTGATGAAAAGCATGGTTGCCCCAGACATGGACATCCGGACATCCAGACACCTGTACCAGACCCGTGTCTGGATTGAACCGGACGTCCGGTAACCGGACACACAACTGGAGATCCAAACAACGGGACCCGGACAGTTCGGTTGGTGTCCGGAAGTCCAGATTAAAAAAAAAAAACACTCACAAACACACAAGGACAAACACAAACACTAAGTATAAGCTGAAGGTCGGAAGTGAAATGAACAGGAGTATGAAGATCTGAAGAGAAATGCACAGGAGCATGCCTTCCCTTTTACTCTGCCTCCTGTTATGACGTGCAAGTGGGCTGTTAAGGCACATGGGGATGTGGGCAGCTGCCGCTTAACCGCCATCAACATGGGCAGCCTTGTACGTGTGAGGCATAGTACAGGAGGAGCTGTTGCCCCAAAGAAACCCAACTAAACACGGTTCAAAATGGTTGTATTATGATTTACATTGCTTGCTAAAGAGGTGAATTCTTTAATTGTTGGGCTGGCTCAACTCGAATCTACTCATCTGGGTGGAATTGGGGCTGTGTTGTGGTGGACACTTAAAACACACACACATGCACACCACACAAACACACGCTCGCGCACACACACACACCCACACCCCCCCCCCCGCACACACACACACACACACACATTCAATTGTGTTGCAGATTGCTAACTGTCTCATCGTTGGGTAGGGCCCTCTCAAGTGTGCTGCCTTTAAGGTCAGGTTTCTATGATTTTCGATCTACTCATGTATGCATTGCTTGCATAACGGTAACATTTCTGTTGTGCTTCACGTTGCTGACTATGGAGGCAACACTGTTTCCTTCATGGATTGGTTCATCTCATGCATGCTTCATCGTCAACAATAGAGGTAAAGTTGCTTTGAAGTATCCATTGCTTGCTTTCTCAAAGTTTTGGCAAAGATGCGTCGACTTTTTCTTGGATTTTGCTTCTGCAGGGAATGGCCTGATTGAATTGCAGCAAAGGGGGGAAGAGAGTCGTTTCAAATGAAAGAGGAATGCCGAGTTCTGGATTGGCGGCATTATCAATCATTCAATTAAAACTGCCATTACATCGCGCAGGCAAACTTGAGAATGGAAATCCAGCCAATCTGAATTTTGGAGGCTCGGGGCTACCAAGACCAAAAATGGCTGGTGGCGCCAGTCAAAAGGGAAAAAAAAAAAAAAAAAAAAAAAAAAAAAAAAAAAAACGCTCTGCTGGCATTTCGGCAGAGCTTGGCATGGAGGGGGAATCCCCCTCAGCGAAAAGAGGCTCCGATGTACTGGCGATTTAAAAGGCACTTTGTGCAAATTTAACTTAGAACTGGATTTACTATGCTGTCTTTCGGGACATCCATTAAAATTGGAACGATACACAGAAGATTAGCATAACTTAGAACTGGATTTACTATGCTGTCTTTCGGGACATCCATTAAAATTGGAACGATACAGAGAAGATTAGCATGGCCCTTGCCCGATGACACGCATAAATCGAGAAATGGTCCAAGGAAAGGGGGGGGGGAACATGCATTTACTATGGTCAGTATGACATACCTCGATGCAGCTGAACTTATTTGAAAGTGAAAAGTTTATAGCCGTATACCAGGGTTACGAGTGACGACAGGGCAAAAGGGCATCTGTGCAGCCTGCACGTACGGGCACCTGCCGGGGGTACCCTGGGCAACAAATGGCTCACTTTTTATCTGGGTGGTGGGGCGTTGCTCCACCCACTGAGACTGTCCATATCTGGGCTCTTTTGTTTCCTTTTAGTACACGTGAAAGGGGTTGTGGTGGCAGGGAGGGAGGAGAGAGGTAGCTGGTGGAAGGGAGGAAGCAGATGGCGATGAGCTAGATAGGAATGGATGGAGGATGGATATGGCAAGGGGGGAGGCGATGGGTGGTGATCGGAGGAGGGGGATTCTGCCCTCTCCCTCTCTCGGCTAGCCACAAGAAGAAGAAAACTGATGAAACGGAGATGGGGAGGAGGTCAAGGGTGATGGGGGGAGCATGGTGAGGAGGTAGATGGCGATAGAGGGAGTATGGCGAGGAGGTAAATGCTGATGGAGGGAGGGTAGCTAGGTAGATAGCGGTGAAGGGAGGAGGGTGAGGATGTAGTTTCCCATGGGGCTCAATTCCACCCTTTCTCCGTCTATCATTAGCAAGAAGAAGAAGAGCAACAGCGAACTCAACTTCTTCTCGATGCAGATGGGGGGGGACCTGGCAGGTAGCACAATAGGCGGAGCACCAGGGTTGTGGTGGCTGGATAAAAATGATGACGGTCATGATGACAATGGCAGCACGACAGTGACGACAATAGGAGGGCAAGTCTGAACAACCTTGCCACAGCATTCAAACTTGAATGTCCAAGAAAAACTGCCCTGTCGACTTCCCTGCTTGAAATTTGTGGAGCAAATGTCTTCTCGGTCCCACTCGACGGCGGAGATTCACCAAACATGGAAAAGTAAAAGGTGGGTCTGCCAGGCTCCTGAAAAAGATTTGGACCTTGCCTGGCTGTGCCATGAACCTGCACGAGGCTGCCAGGCACCTTGCCTGGCCCAAAGTGAGCATACTCTCCCGGCTGCCCCCGCGCCTCTACTTCCCTCTGAGATTTGGGCCCTGACTGGGGACCGAGCCAGCTGGCCAGTCTACCGGGCAGGTTTCAAGAATCTGGACTAAAATGTTTGGAAGCTCGCTTAAAGCACCAGTATTTGGCCCAGCTATCGGCCATGGAAAAAAATAGAGTAGAAACGTTTCTATTCGGATGAATTGGGGCGCTCCTGTAGTAGCCCGTACGTTTCCTGAAATTGTGGCGAGTTAAACCACCAGTACACTGCCTCAGCCTTGCAGCAAAATAACTTGTCGCCACAAGAAGTAAAAGGTGGGCTGGGGGCAGGGTTGGAGCGTCAGAAGGTTTTCAAATTTTGGGCCCATGTCAAATCCGCACGTTCCAAAAAACAAAACAAGCTTTGGCAGTGATTGCAGTTGGATACACTTTTTGGAGTACTCCCTGTGAGTCTGCCCTCGGTGAGGGCACTCAGGCCGAATGAAGAACACGGGGAGCACGTCTGTCAGGCAAAAAAGAACAAAAAAGAAAAAAACCAACAAAGCTTTGGTTGTGAAAGTGGTTGGATGCATTTCAATGGTGCAAGTGTGAGTATGGGCCTCGTTAGACACTCCTTACGAATTCCTTGAGCCACAAGGAAATTTCCGTGTGGCTCTTAAGGGAAATTTGCAGCGTCGTTCCACTCAACCTTGGGGACCTCCCTCGAGGATGTTTCCTTGTGGCGTGCCCGCGGCCGTTTTCATACGGAAATTAGTGTCCGCGGGGTCGGTCGTCCTTGGTCCACCATCTTTTGTCCGTGTGGAGGCGGCGTGGTCCAGCGACGTGTGGCGGGAAACGACATGAGGCGGGCGACGGGAAAAAAAATTAACCCGGGGGGCGTCGACGTTTGACATTCGAATTTCGAATGACGGCTGCGACGACGACAACGACGTGCGGCTGGCGGCGCGAAGACGGTACACTGCTGAAACGGGGGCTCAGCGGCGGCGTCACTTCCGTCCCCCGGTCGTTGTGAGTGTGCAGGCATCATCGGGTGCGTCCATCACCGTCGACCTTCGCACACGTCGACTGCGCCTTGAAACACATTTCTGTCTGCTAGACTACATCTAGAGAAAAAGGGCCAGCTTTCGACGGACGACACACACGGCAGCGGAGCGATGGGTCCGTGTCCAGGTCGCGGCTATGGAGGGCGGCGGAGAGGGTGGACGTGCGGTGTTTACGCCTCCTGAGCAGCAGGTCGTGGTGGCGGCCGTGTCTACCGTTGTTCTTCGATGTCAGCAGGAGAGGGCGCTGGGACGACTGGAGGAGCAGTTGCGCGCGCGTAGACGGAGGACATTGACACAAGCTTCGAACGATGGCCCCGACTACGTGGCGACCTCAGAGGCTGTTGTTCAGCTGTGCTACACGTTGGGTTGCAGAGTGATTCCTCGAGCGACGTCGAGGTGGTGGATGAAGCGCAGGACAGGAGGCACGTGGGAAGACCTCAGGCAATGCGACGACGCGACAGACGATACTTCCGGGAGAAGCTACGCATGTCACCGCGAGTGTTCGGGAAATCGCAGAGGCATGTGCGCCTCATCTTCAGCGGCGGGTGACGTTCTACAGAGAGCCTTTGCAGCCAGACCAGATTGTGGCGTACGCACTGTACAGATGGGCGGGGAGACGTACGAGAACAACACGTGCAACTTCGGGATTGGCAGAGCTTCTGGCCTGGTTGCCATCCGCGACGTTACTGTCGTGCTGCTCCGGGTGGACGGAGAGAAGATTGCCTGGCCGGCTGAAGTTCGTAAGCTCCTCGTTTTGCGGGCGTTCGCTGATAAAGGGTTTCCCCAATTGCCACGGTTGCATTGACTGTACTCACATCTACGTGGACAAGTCGACGTACGCACCGAGCGAAAACTATTATGACAGGAAGCGTCGTTTCTCCATCGTCGCGCAGGTTGTCGTCGACTTGGACTTGCATGTGCTTGATGTGCACATGGGATACCCGGGTAGCTGCCACGACATCAGGGTGCTCCAGTTGTCCAGCCTGTGGCAGCGCGCGGAGTCGAGGTCGTTGTTCCGTGGTCCCGCTGTGACACTACCGTTCGGTGTCCGGACGAACGGGTACATCCTGGCGGACAATGGCTACTCCCCTTCGGAATGGATGGTCGTCCCATATGGAGGCGTCAATCAGGAGCTCGATGAGGAGTGGTTTGACAACAAGCAGAAGGTGGCGAGGGGAGCGGTGGAGAGGGCGTTCGGCAGGCTGAAGGGGATGTGGCGGCTGTTTCTGCGGACGCACAAGACCAACCTGGACACGCGCCCGCGACAGTTCACCGCCGTCTGTATATTCCACAACATACTGATTGACGCTGGAATTCCATTATGAGAATCTGCTATGGGAGGTCGACGCTAATGGTGTGCGAAGACGTGTGGACCTGGGGATTGAAGAGCCCCTTCAGCCTACGTCGACAGACGAAGCGTTGGCCCTGAGGGATGCTTTAGTGGAACGAATGAAACACGATTGAGTCGTGTTCACATGGTGGACAGAAGCGCGTGGAAGTGTAGTCATTGCAGCATTGGCAGGAGGGCAAATTTGTTGTTTCGTCCCCCTTGAAGGGAGTGTTAGTGCGCGTCCCGCCTTGGGGTTGGTAGTTTGCGTTCGAGGTTGCAGTTCGTCAGCGTCACGGTGCATGGATGTGCGCGCCTGTTGTTCAGAGAGCCCAGCAATGGGCGTTTCCAGTGTGTTGTGGGGACACGGCGCACTGCGGGTGTCCTGTGCGCCTTTTTTTTTTGACACGTGGCGGCCGTGTTGAAGAGAGTGCAGGGTTGATCGTGCGGGAGGGGCTGAAACTTGTCGCCCCTGCGTTAGATTATGATGTCTTTTTTGACAATTGGTGCTCAATTTTGTAACTTCCTTGCGATGTTAAAATCCTCGATTGAGGGTGCAGGTGGTGAGGGGTGATGTGTTCTTCTTCTGTCTATTGTTAGTATGTGTTGTTCTTCTGTGTGTTGATATTTCAATGCGATGATGAATCAGGAAGAAGATACATTGTGCCATTGCATCTTCACAACAACTGCTCTTGGACGGGGGGGGGCTCTTAAGGGATGTGTGCATTGTCTTACTAGGACTGTTGTAAAGAAAATTAAATAAAGTTGTTGGTGCCATTTGGGAAAACTGCAAAAAACGAACCAAACGAACGACAATGACATCAGCAAAGGCCGAAGATGAAATGTGTGCATGCAAACGTCGCAATGATTATTCACTCATGCAAGCGAAGTCACGAAAACAGCGGACGCATGATGAAAAAAAGGGTGCGCTCGAAGCGCAATTATGTTCGTTCGCAGCAAGCTGCGATGACAACAACACACAACACGACGATTGACATCGAAACCCCCCGTCGACCCTGCTGAAGTGAACGCTCTAAAATGTCACTCGTCTACTCGCAGGAGCAGCACACTAAACAGGTGCACAACCAACATATTGAAGTGAAAAAAGCACCCCTGCCAAAGCGAACGACCTAAAACGTCGCTCGTCTACTCACAGGAGAGACACACTGTACACGTGCCCAATCGACGACAAGCCCATCACGACCACCAACGTCTACACGCGCAGCCACAAATCTCGGAGCGCCCGCGCCGCCCCCCCCCCCCTTCCACTTCCCTCTGCCGCGCCGTACGTCTGACCAGCAGCCCCCCTCCCCTATTTGTCTTTTCTAGCGTCGTCGTTGTCCTCCTCCAGGGGGCCCGAACGCAACCAATCCAGCCTCTTCGCGTCCTCCGACCCTGTCATGCTCGCGTCGTGCCCAAAGACGATGTCGCAGGATGCCCATTCGGGGATGTACTTCGGGTACTCTCCCAAGGTAGCGTTCGCCTTCCCAAGCCTCTTTGTGACGACGTTTGTGGCACGGACGACTGATCGTCGATGTTCGAAGGAGCGATGCATGGACGAGACGAGCGTGGGCTTCGCCACCAGCTTGGTGAAGTAAAAAGCTTCGTAATGGCTGCGCAGATCGTCTCCCGCCATGCGCATCAACCACATGCTGGCCGCCAACAAAAGCCTGAAGCAGTCAAAAACCCCGTGAGAGACGGTCGTGTGAGATGAAGCCGCCGTCGACGTTCGCACCCATCTGAACCGCGGCGCGGAATGCATGCGCAATGCATATGACGGTGGACTCCTGGTACGCCGCCATGTCGTCGTCCTCAGGCCTGTCCTCGATGTTCGCACCAGCGAACCACAGTGGCAAGTCCATGGACAGGTATATTGTGTGCGCACAAACGGCCGCACTAGCGACGTTACTCCACTCCTCGTCGTACCACATAGCACGCGCAATGTCCATCGCCACGGACTCCAGCACGTACAGGAAAGCCAAATTGTAACCTCTGGGGCGGTTCCCGGATTTGAAGACCCAGACGTGCAAGACGTGCGGAGCAATATTCTCCACTGTCACTGCACGGGAGATCGCTTGCTGCAGCTGTGGGGGCAATCCTTGTTAGCTTCGTGCAGGATTTTGGCATGACGATCTTCCGAGGGACGGCAGGGGCTTGAAGACCGCTGGCGATGGCGACAAAATACTCTCGCGTTTCATGGACGATGTTGTACAGTCTTCAACCCTCCCCTTTCATCCAGAAAGCTTTGTCATCAACCAACAGTCGGGCACAGTCGATCAGATCTTTCGCCATGCCTCCCCTTCGTACCCAGCTCAAAAGGGGGTCGTCGTCCTCCCGATCACCTTTGTTCTCGCCACGCGCCTCCTCTCGCTCGACTACTGGAAGCTCCTCTCTGGCCCTCAACACGGGTGCCACATTGCCTGAAGTTCCCGTACCGACAGCAGCGACCGCCTCGCCCCCAACTGCGCGGGCGTCTACCAGGACTTCCGCCCACCTCGCCGCGTTCAATGGAGCCTCCCTCATCAGCCGTGTTTCACGGACTCGGCTGAGACAGCGTGGCAGGCTGTCCACCCTGAGGTGGCCTTTCGTCCGTCACACCGCATGCCCTGACTGCCGTCGCTGTTGTGGCTTGTTTGACATTGCGCTGTCGATGTCGTTCCAATGGCTCGTCATCATCACCTCCAACGTCGATGACGGCCTCCTTCTCCGACCACGTTTCGCGGGCATGCACGTGCTGCCCCTTCGGTGGAGGCGTCAACAATCTCCTGGCAGCGCTGTGATCTGAAGAACGTGGCGACCACTCTCTCGATCTGCGGACACGGTCTCCTCTGGCACTTATTCCTCCGTCGTGAGGACGTCTTCGCCATCACCTTCGTCTGCTGTCGCCCAATGTTGCGGTCGACGAGTAGGCACGCTTCCTGAAGCATCGTCTGAACGAAGCCTCTTCGCCTTGGGGACATGCCGTCGACCCCTTTCCCGCCCTTGAATGTCCGTAGGGACGATATCCCACTTCTTACCACGGGCGCGGGCTCGCGTAGACATGCTTCGTGCTTCCCTCTCCAATCGAGTTTGGCGGGAGGAGGTGGCGAGCGGGAATAGAGGGTCGACTGCCGATGGGAGTTTCGTCGATCTGGCGAGATCAGCGTCCCATGTACGGATCGCGCGTGGCGAGGACGAAGAAGAAGTGTCCTCGGCCCACAGATGAGCACGACGTCCACGTGTACGAGATGAGGACAATGACCCCGGCGAGACTACTCTGCAGCGAGAAGAAGAGAAGAGCGGCGACGCCGAACCTCCACGTGGCGAGACAGATCCGCAGTGATAAGGAGAGAGTGTTCCGCCGTGGATTGGCCCAAAGTCCTCACTCGCCGAACATCGACCTGTCCACGGAGCATCGCGGCGCCAATGCAAGGAGAGTGACGGCGCTGAATCTCCACGTGATGAGAAGGCGAGAAGAGCTACGGCGGTGATCCTCCACGACACTGACGAAGTCCCCGGCGAGGATGGGAGAGATGTCCGCGGTGAGCAGGCGGTAGAGGTCCGTGGTGAGGAGGCCAAAAGTTGGAGGGCGTCCCGCGTGGTTGTGCTCGTTGTGGAGCACGTGCGGCGGGCTTCTGTGGTGGAGACACCACAAGCGGACGACCTTTATGCGGGACGGGACGCAGACGCCTGAATGAGACGGAGCAAATGGACGGGCCTCAACTTCGCTTCTTCTCATGCGTCAATCAGCACGTTGACAGTGATATGTGTGACCTCAGCATTCCAGACCGTGTATGCGCACCCACTCTTCTTCTAGTGTCACTGCCACCCTCCCCAAGCCGCCAACAGGCCCTTCCACGCCGTTCCCCACGCGCGTCGATGCACTCGCCAGGGAACCAAAAAAAAAAAAAAAAA